TCATGTCTTTTTCTTAGTTATTGTGTTAAGACATTTATATTCTACATTTAGAGAGATTCACATGTACCCTTATAAGATGAACCATAGGCGTGATCCTGCTAATCACCCTCCCTTCACCCACCCTCCCCTCTCCCCTCCCCTCCCTCTCTCCTCTCCCCATGTTCCTGAGCTAAAATTGGGTTATCGCTTTCCTATGAATGCTATAAATTAGTTTATAGTGTGTCTTCTTTTTTCTGTCTGAATCCAGATTGATACAGAACATTTTCTTCTTTTGTTTTGTTTTTCAAATTTCTCTGCTCCTGATTTAATTGTTCTATAATTTAAAAACAGAGTGGTGGGGAGGGGAGTAACAGGCAATTTTTCTAACAGAAGCAGGTAAAGATGAAGACGCTATAGCTCCTGGAGCCGTAACCCCAGCTTTGGAAATTCATCCCACCAGCATGGACACTGCCAGGCCATGCCTCATCCCCTACGTATTTTCCTCTCCCCTCTAGCTCAGGCCACAGTGAGCCCTGCCTGTGCTGGCTTCCTATGTCTTACGTGAGGTATGAATGTCAAGGGTGATCTGGGAGTCAATGGCACAGAGCTTTTATTTTTTTCCTCTGCACTACTGGCTTGATCATCCCCACCAATTATATCTTCCTCTGTTCAATAGGAATAATATTTTCCCTCCCCACTTTACAGGTTTGTCTTGAGAATAATATGATCTACATTCTAATTAGAAATATTTACTCCCAAAGACACAATGGTCTACATACACGTTAATTTTACTTCTAACAGCTACCAGATAAACGGTGGCAATCCCTGGCATGCTGGGGCATGTTTTGTACACATAACATTTTTAAAGAGACATTCCTCCAACAAACAGTTGGATGCTCTTCATAATGTGGACACCCACTGAGGACCCAAAGTGTAGCTTGCCAGTAGATAGCAGCTCAGATCACTAACACAGCCTTCTGTCCTCCATACTCCAAAGGTCTGCCCAAAACCTAGATCAGTGCTCTCAGAGAAAATCCAGGTGGAGTAGTCTAAATCCACCGCTTACTGAGAGTCCAGCACTTTCATCCCCTTCTTTGAGAGTTTCCGTGCTAGTAAAATAATTCCATCCTTACTCTAATTGATGAATATTCTATCACCAATTCATCCTTCCCTTCCCTCCCATCAGAACACTCATGTTTGAAAACTACGACATTAAAATAATCATCTACTTAGAAGTTAGCTTTATGGCTAAATGCTCTCTAGAGATAAATCTATAGACATAACTTCTGTCCATGATATTTGAGTTTCAGAAAGCAACAAAGCTGAGGTCTGAGGCCCACCTGGCCGGCCCTTCCCTTGGTGTGACCAGCCCCAGGGGAAGCAGCAGGTCCCTTCTCACAGGTAATCAAGCCACCTCAAACAAGTAGCTGAGACATTTGCCCTCCCCCTGGATTATCACTCATCCTTTACTGAGAAAATATATCTGGGGCTCTGACTAAGTAGGAGGCCCTGTGCCAGGCACTGCAGATGCGTGCTATGGTGATGCCATCTCCTCTCCTCATCCCAAAGTTTATAAACTGCCTATGAAGACAGTCCATGAATAGGAAACACTGCCCTAATATGACTGTGTGTGGGGAGATAAGAGGGGAATTCCCTGGGAGCTGAGATATTTAAACTATACCTTAAGAATGAGTGGGAGTCAGGGATGTGAAAGACTTACTACTACCTCTTGGGGAGTTTTCATTTATGAGATTAAGTCATACGTAGTCTGACCTCTCGTATACAAAGCAGAATATGAGCCATTGCCCTAAAGAGGTAGAAACAAATACTCTAAGTACCTATAGAAGAGGAAAGCACAGCTCAGATCAGTAAAAGTTTCATGCAGGAAACAGAAAGCACCACACTTACTGTCTCCATGATGTAGAGTTTATCCGCGAGTTACACATGGAACTGGGCCCAGACTTCCTTTGCATTTAAATCTACAGTTAGTTCTTAGGACAAGAATCTTGCACCTATCACACTTGACATTCCAAGTTACATCAAAGGACAAGCAAAGGGAACATGATGCCACGTGTAGAAAAGCAGCAATTTGCACATGAACTACCGCCCTTCAGTTCTCGTAATTGTTGATGCGGAAGGAAAAGAGATTGGGAACTGGATGAATCAAAAGTTATTTGCAAATAGAACTTCCAGTTAGGGTTTTATAGACCAGGTTTCAGACGTTATGGAGGATTTCGCTCGGGAAGGAATTGATGTGATTTGTCTTCACACCGTGAGGGCCCTCGTCTACATAAATGTTTGCAAGCTATTTCCATGAATGTATGAATAAGTGACACTCAAATAGCTTGGTGATTTATATGATAAGAAATTTGGAATAACTTCCTTAACCTAAATATAAAAACACAGGATGGCATTAAGTGGTTTCATTTTGGATGCCAAAAAATAACAGCTTTCCCCATTTGTTTTGTGGGGAAAAGCCAAGCTCGTTCAAGCCAAGGTGGTTCATGCCAAGATGAAATAGACTACTGTCACCTTTCCCCTACATAGATCAGTCCGGCAATAATCCAGCTTTAATGAACTTCTTGGGTCCCCACTTTATTAGTCTCCTCATGACCACAGGCCCAAAGAACATCACTGTATGTACATTTGCTTTTTTCAACATCTAAGTCCTCAGCACTGATCAGGGAATAACCGTGTTAATTCTGTTGGAATATTTATTGATAAAATTGAAATGTTTACTGTTGGCTCCCTTTAAATAACATTTTCACATTTTTTCCCAATGACTTTAGACTCTGAAGTCAACCAAGGGCACTCATTTGAACACTAACTACTTTAGGTATTTTTCCACAGTCCAAATATTACTCAAAATACCTTGAAAACATATACTCCTATATCCCCTTTCTTGAAGGTTCAGATTTCTTATTACTGTTAACATGATAGAAGGTAGTTATGCTATTTCTGAAGATTGTCACTTATCTGACCACCTCCTCCCATGGTGAAATCTCAATTTCATGGCCAGATAGACTTTATAAGTAGTCTTGAGGTCTCTGAGACTTCTGTTCCTGTAAAAGTTATTTGATATGCTGTAAAGTGAAATTATCTTCGTTCAAATGTAAGAAACTCATACATAAACACATGATGATATGAAGCCACTTTAAGAGTTAACCATCCCTTCTAGGTGTGGTAGTATTTGTGTAGGGGAATTCCCCAAAAGCAGTCTCTCAAGCAGTGTTTTCAACCTTTTTTTATCTCATGGCACACTTGATCCTATAGTTAATCTTCTGCAGCACAAATTACACAGATCAAAAAATATATATACTTACTGTGCTTTGAAGTTCTTTTGAAAATAATTTAATGATCTTTAAAAATTTTCACCGGCACACCTAAGATCCCCTCACAGCATCCCAGTGTGCTGAGGCGCACTGGCTGAAAACCACCGCTCTAAAGGGATCTGCTCCAGACGCTCGTAAGGACTTGCAGTAAAGGAAACCTGTTCCTGCCCCCAAAATATGGCAGGTTGGCAGCTACTTATTCCACCTGACTTTGAGCAGAATTTATTTTCATAGAATAAGTACTTAATGAAGGGACTCACAATCAAACACTAATTAAGCTTAAAAAGTATAGCTCACATAGAAAAGTTCTACCATGCCCTGATGTCAAATGGGCGACACAGGTGTGAGTGGGCCACCTGGAATCCAGCACTGCTCTTTCAGTCATTTCCTGTGGAACACTAGTGATCCCTTTGGCCACAGCCTATAGGTGGTCTCAGAGTTTCAGCCTCGCCACTTTCTGAGCATCTGCACAGCCCTTCCTCCCACTCACCCCGCCTGCAATGTTGCTGGGGTGGCAAAGTTGGAATAGCCCTGATCCAGTGTTCCCTACCCATCCCAGGGGAATTCCTGTGTGGGCAAACAAGGGTTAAAGTGTGTGACATCCACAGTCTAACCATGCTGAACCCTGGACCACAGATTCACAATTAAGTCATAACCAGGATAAAATGGGGTAACAAGTGGCATCACATGGCCGTTCGTTGGCCTTGCCTGTTTCAACTAAGACAGTGACCGAGTCCTTCGCCAGCTTAGAGTTAAGGGATTGTTAAATGATATTTCATGTCCGTAGTAGGCCAGCTTTTGAAACTAAAGACTCAAATGATGGCAATGATAATTCAAGGCTTTGGAAAAATTGCGTACCCCAAATTATGTTTTAAGAATCAGAGACTTCTCTGAAAACTGCACATAGAGTTTCTCCAATACCACCAGGCAAACCAGAATTCCTTTGAGCTATAATACAGCACTTATTCATTTTGAAATTACAGGTGTCAACTGTTATACCCCCAAACAGTCATCTTTATACAAATATTAGTGAATTTCCCAATTTCTCTTCATCATTACTGCTAGAGGTAACAATCTTCTTAGTAATTTTTAAGTACTGTAATCTATTTAAAGGAAAAACTCAGAAAATTATATTATACCATGGATTTATTTGCCTCCCCAGTAGACTGTCACTAAATTCTGTTTAATATGGGTTAAAATTGCTGGGTTTGACAGGTCTGGTTTTCTCATCAAGGACTTAAAAAGCACTGTGTTCTTTCTAAAGTGCCAGTGCAGCAGCATTTTTTTCGTTTTAATAAAAAAAAAAGTTTTTCCTTTTTTTTTGTTTTTAGACAGAGTCTCACTCCACCACTTGGTAGAGTGCTGTGGCATCATAGCTCACAGCAACTTTAAACTCTTGAGCTCAAGAGATCCTCTAGCCTCAGTCTCCTGAGTAGCTGGGACTGCAGGCATGCACCACTGCACCCAGCTAGTTTTTCCATTTTTAGTAGAGAGAGGGTCTTGCTCTTGCTCAGGCTGGTCTCTAACTCCTGAGCTCAGGGGAGCCATCTCCCTCGGCCTTTCAGAGTGCCAGGATTATAAGCATGAGCCACTACGCCTGGCCCCAACGCAGCAGTGTTGAGCCCCGATCTGTGCAGCGAAGTGCCTCTCCCTGCAACCACTGAAAGTAATAAAAAGCTAAGTTCCCACCTCGGTGACTGGTGAGTTCCCTGGAAGCAGATGGCAAGGGCGTGTAGTGGAGCTCTGGAGCAGCAGCGGCATCCTCGCTGGCACCCTGCATGATAAAAGCAAATGTCAATAGGAAACACCAAATACCAAACACCTCCATTTA